CAGGTAGTACACAGTAGTACACAGTAGTAGTACACAGTAGTACACAGTAGTACACAGTAGTAGTACACAGCAGTAGTACACAGTAGTAGTACACAGCAGTAGTACACAGTAGTAGTAGTAGTACACAGTAGTAGTACACAGCAGTAGTAGTACACAGTAGTAGTACACAGCAGTAGTACACAGTAGTACACAGTAGTAGTACACAGTAGTACACAGTAGTACACAGTAGTAGTACAGTAGTACACAGTAGTACTACACAGTAGTAGTACACAGTAGTAGTACACAGCAGTAGTACACAGCAGTAGTACACAGCAGTAGTACACACAGTAGTACACAGTAGTAGTACACAGTAGTAGTACACACAGTAGTACACAGCAGTAGTACACAGCAGTAGTACACAGCAGTAGTACACAGTAGTAGTACACAGTAGTACTACACAGCAGTAGTACACAGCAGTAGTACACAGTAGTAGTACACAGACCTGGCAGCGGTCTCCCACGTTGTACTGCATCCCTGAGGCGATACAAAAGTCCATCTTCTGCTGAGCTGAAAACAAACACACACAAACTCTCACACAAGAGGAACATGAACACTGTTGTCATGGCGATTAACTAAATATTCTTTTATCTTATTCAAGAGAATAAAGATTAAATAAATAAATAAAAAAAGGAATTAGGAAACAATGAAGATTTTGTATTAGACAAATTCACTTCAGTCAAACGTTTGGACCTGACAGATTCAAAACACAACTGCAGGTGTGTTTGTGCGTCCACACGGCCGACTGGACATCTGTGTGTGTGTGTCTGTTGTGTGTGTGTGTGTGTGTCTGTTATGTATGTGTGTGTGTGTGTTGTGTCTGTTATGTATGTGTGTGTGTGTGTTATGCGTTTGTTGTGTGCGTGTGTTGTGTGCGTGTGTTGTGCGTGTGTTGTGCGTGTGTGTTGTGCGTGTGTTGTGCGTGTGTGTGTGCGTGTGTTTGTGCGTGTGTTGTGTGCGTGTGTGTGTGCGTGTGTGCGTGTGTGTGCGTGTGTTGTGCGTGTGTTGTGTGTGTGTTGTGCGTGTGTTGTGTGTGTGTTGTGCGTGTGTGTCGTGTGTGTTGTGCGCGTGTTGTGTGTCGTGTGTGTTGTGTGTGTGTGTTGTGCGTGTGTGTCGTGTGTTGTGCGCGTGTTGTGCGTCTCACCCTTCTTGGAGCGCGTCCACACGTCGTACTGGACGTTCCGGAGCAGAGTCGGGTTCAGAGATCGTTTGACTCGTTCAGACAAAGATCGACCGCGACCTCGACCCTGAACACAACAACACAACAACACGACAACATCAAACACACAAACACACACAAAGACTAATTCACTTCTGTCGAGGATCCAACGACAACACACAACCGAGCAGAAGTACCACTGTCAGTAGCGTTAGCAGAAGTACAAGTATTAGTAGTAGTAGTAGTATTAGTATTGTGTTTGTTTGTAGTTTTACCTTGGATTTGAGCGCCGCTGCACACGTCCCGTTCTCTTGTCTGAAACAAACATGTTTGAGTTTAACACAAACTGAGAGTCTAAAACAAGACACTCAAAGAGAAGAAACGACCGTCACATGGACCATGACACACGGGGGGAGGGCGCCTGACACACACAACGAGGAAGAAATCTGACACACACAACGAGGAAGAAATCTGACACACACAACGAGGAAGAAATCTGACACACACAACGAAGAAATCTGACACACACAACGAGGAAATCTGACACACAACGAGGAAGAAATCTGACACACACAACGAGAAGAAATCTGACACACACAACGAGGAAATCTGACACACACAACGAGGAAGAAATCTGACACACACAACGAGGAAATCTGACACACACAACGAGGAAGAAATCTGACACACACAACGAGGAAATCTGACACACACAACGAGGAAGAAATCTGACACACACAACGAGGAAGAAATCTGACACACACAACGAGGAAATCTGACACACACAACGAGGAAGAAATCTGACACACACAACGAGGAAATCTGACACATATATATAGAAATTGTGCGTGTTTTGTGCGTTTCGTGTGTGTTTTGTGTGTGTTTCTGCGTGTCCGTGCATGTTTTGTGCACTGCGTGCGTGTCTGTGCGTGTTTGTGTGTGTTTTGTGCATGTTTGTGTGCGTGTTTTGTGCGTTTCGTGTGTGTTTGTGCGTATCCGTGTGTTTTGCCCGTTTCGTGCGTGTCTTTGCGTGTTTGTGCGTTTCATGTGTGTTTTGTGCATGTTTCTGTGTGTGTGTTTTGTGCATTTCGAGTGTGTTTTGTGCATGTTTTGTGCGTGTTTTGTGTGTTTCATGTGTGTTTTGTGCATGTTTGTGTGTGTTTCATGTGTGTTTCGTGTGTGTTTCGTGCGTGTCTGTGTGTGTTTCGTGCATGTTTGGTGTGTGTTTGGTGTGTGTTTGGTGCGTGTTTCGTGTGTGTTTTGTGCATGTTTGTGCGTGTTTGGTGTGTGTTTCGTGCGTGTTTCGTGTGTGTTTTGTGCATGTTTGTGCGTGTTTGGTGTGTGTGTTTCGTGCGTGTTTCGTGTGTGTTTTGTGCATGTTTGTGCGTGTTTGGTGTGTGTTTCGTGCGTGTCTGTGTGTGTTTCATGCGTGTTTGGCAAGGCAAGGCAAGTTTATTTGTATAGCACAATTCGTACACAAAGTAATTCAAAGTGCTTTACAGAATAAGAAATACATTAAAATCATAATAAAAACAAATCAAAACATAAATAATCATGAAGATTAAAATTAAAAAAGAGAGACATAAATTGGAGAGAAGAGTGCGGAATGGTGTGTGTTTGGTGTGTGTTTCGTGCGTGTCTGTGTGTGTTTGGTGCGTGTTTGGTGCGTGTTTGGTGCGTGTTTCCTGTGTGTTTCGTGCATGTGACCTGCGTGTTTGTGTGTGCTTTGTGTGTGTTTCGTGCGTGTTTGGTGTGTGTTTCGTGCGTGTCTGTGTGTGTTTCGTGCGTGTCTTTGGTGTGTGTTTCGTGCGTGTCTGTGTGTGTTTCGTGCGTGTTTGGTGTGTGTTTTGTGCGTGTTTGTGTGCGTGTTTTGTGTGTGTTTCGTGCGTGTGACCTGCGAGCGTCCGTCTCGGCGTCGGAGTCGTCGCTGCTCGGACACGGCGGCATGGCGTCGTCAATGAGCAGGTCGGAGGGTTTGGAGGCTCTGTGGCACAGGCGGTCCATGTGTGCGCGGTCCACGCCGAACACACGCTCGTACAGCAGCTCGTACAGGATCGCTGCAACACCACAACAACGTAAAAACACCACACAAACTCCACAACACAAAAGAAACACCACACAAACTCCACAACACAATAAAAACACCACACAAACTCCACAACACCGTAAAAACATCACACAAACTCCACAACACAAAAAAACACCACACAAACTCCACAACACAAAAACCACACAACACCACAAACCGTAAAAAACACACAAACTCCACAACACAATAAAAACACCACACAAACTCCACAACACCGTAAAAACACCACACAAACTCCACAACACAAAAAAACACCACACAAACTCCACAACACAAAAAAACACCACACAAACTCCACAACACAATAAAAACATCACACAAACTCCACAACACAATAAAAACACCACACAAACACCACAACACAAAAAACACCACACAAACACCACAACACAATAAAAACACCACACAAACTCCACAACACAATAAAAACACCACACAAACACCACAACACAATAAAAACACCACACAAACACCACAACACAATAAAAACATCACACAAACCACAACACAATAAAAACACCACACAAACACCACAACACAATAAAAACACCACACAAACTCCACAACACAATAAAAACATCACACAAACACCACAACACAATAAAAAACATCACACAAACACCACAATAAAAACACCACACAAACACCACAACACAAAACACCACACAAACTCCACACACAAAAAACACACACAAACACCACAATAAAAACACCACACAAACACCACAACACAATAAAAACATCACACAAACTCCACAACACAATAAAAACACCACACAAACACCACAACACAATAAAAACTCCACAACACAATAAAAACATCACACAAACACCACAACACAATAAAAACACACAAAACCACAATAAAAACACCACACAAACACCACAACACAATAAAAACACCACACAAACTCCACAACACAAAAGAAACACCACACAAACACCACAACACCGTAAAAACACCACACAACACACACAACAAAAAAAACACACACAAACACCACAACACAATAAAAACACCACACAAACACCACAACACAATAAAAACACCACACAAACACCACAACACAATAAAAACACCACACAAACTCCACAACACAATAAAAACACCACACAAACACCACAACACAATAAAAACACCACAAACACCACAACACAATAAAAACACCACACAAACTCCACAACACAATAAAAACACCACAACACAATAAAAAACACCACAACACAATAAAAACACACAAACACAACTTCAGCTCTATGAAACTAACGAAACACTTTTCTACGTCTCTCCCTGAAACTGAAACAAACTGCTACGTTATCAAAACATTTCACCCAATCTTTGCGTTTTAAAGCTGCACTGTGTAACTTCTCTGGCTGCTCGTTTCTATGGATACGTCACTGTTCTCCGTGGAATGTTCCAGAGTGTGACATTAAACAGCTCGACTTTACGTTTACATTTATAGCTCAAAAATACCTAGAAAACCAGGACAAAACCAGGTCTAAACCAGGACTAAAACCAGGTCTAAACCAGGACTAAAACCAGGTCTAAACCAGGACTAAAACCAGGTCTAAAACCAGGTCTAAAGCAGGTCTAAAACAGAACTAAAGCAGAACTAAAGCAGAACTAAAGCAGGACTAAACCAGGTCTGAAGCAGGTCTAAAACCAGGACTAAACCAGGACTAAACCAGGTCTAAAACCAGGACTAAACCAGGTCTAAACCAGGACAAAACCAGGTCTAAACCAGGACTAAACCAGGTCTAAAACCAGGACTAAACCAGGTCTAAACCAGGACTAAACCAGGACTAAAACCAGGACTAAACCAGGACTAAACCAGGACTAAACCAGGTCTAAAACCAGGACTAAACCAGGTCTAAAGCAGGACTAAACCAGGACTAAACCAGGTCTAAAGCAGGACTAAACCAGGTCTAAAACCAGGACTAAACCAGGACTAAACCAGGTCTAAAGCAGGACTAAACCAGGACTAAAACCAGGACTAAACCAGGTCTAAAGCAGGACTAAACCAGGACTAAACCAGGTCTAAAGCAGGACTAAACCAGGTCTAAACCAGGACTAAACCAGGACTAAACCAGGTCTAAAACCAGGACTAAACCAGGTCTAAAGCAGGACTAAATCAGGACTAAACCAGGTCTAAACCAGGACTAAACCAGGTCTAAAGCAGGACTAAAGCAGGACTAAACCAGGTCTAAACCAGGACTAAACCAGGTCTAAAACCAGGACTAAACCAGGTCTAAACCAGGACTAAACCAGGACTAAACCAGGTCTAAAACCAGGACTAAACCAGGTCTAAAGCAGGACTAAATCAGGACTAAACCAGGTCTAAACCAGGACTAAACCAGGTCTAAAACCAGGACTAAACCAGGTCTAAAGCAGGACTAAATCAGGACTAAACCAGGTCTAAACCAGGACTAAACCAGGTCTAAACCAGGTCTACTAAAACCAGGACTAAACCAGGTCTAAAGCAGGACTAAACCAGGACTAAACCAGGTCTAAAACCAGGACTAAACCAGGTCTAAAGCAGGACTAAACCAGGACTAAAACCAGGACTAAACCAGGACTAAACCAGGACTCTAAACCACTAAACCAGGACTAAACCAGGTCTAAAGCAGGACTAAACCAGGACTAAACCAGGTCTAAAGCAGGACTAAACCAGGACTAAAACCAGGTCTAAAACCAGGACTAAACCAGGACTAAACCAGGACTGAACCAGGACTAAACCAGGACTGAACCAGGACAAAACCAGGACTAAACCAGGACTAAACCAGGACTAAAACCAGGACTGAACCAGGACTAAACCAGGACTAAACCAGGACTAAACCAGGTCTAAACCAGGACTAAACCAGGACTAAACCAGGTCTAAACCAGGTCTAAACCAGGACTAAACCAGGACTGAACCAGGTCTAAACCAGGACTGAACCAGGTTGCATTTGAAAAAATTGGATCTGTGTGGTTAAAAGATCAGATGCAGGTCTCATGGGGTGAAAGATGGTCTTTGGGTCTGAACGGAGACTTTGAAACACTGACTTAAAGCTGCACTGCGTAGCTTTTCGGGGAGAGGGAAATGTGAAACCTGAATAAATGTTGTGTAAACACTCACACTGACACACGGCGGTGTTCTTGACCCGGCTCAGAGGATAAATGCTGTCGTAGTGATTCCCGTTCAGAAAACACAACTGCACCTGAGGACGCACAACAACAACAACAATAACACAACAACAACAAAACAACAACAATAACACAACAACAACAAAAACAACAACAACACAACAACAACAATAACAACAACAATAACACAACAACAACAATAACAACAACAATAACACAACAACAATAACAACAATACAACACAACAAGAAGCATTAAAGAGGAGGTATTGTACTTCTGTGGGGTTTTCACTGTAACACATCACTTATTTAGATCACGTGTTCCTTTTATTGTGAAAATGCTGTATTCTGGGTCCTCTCTCCTTTTTCTCCCTGTGCCAAGTCCCTCCCCCTTCAGAGCACTGGTACAACACACTTGTTGTGCGTCGCACTGATGAAACTCCTGCACAAACATCAGGTTTGTCCAGTCGCTGTGTTCAGTTTTGTGTCATGTTTTTATGGAGAATTGTTGTGTGGGAGCGTGTGGGCGGAGCCTCGTACAGACTCGTACTGTGGGAGCGTGTGGGCGGAGCCTCGTACAGACTCGTACTGCGGGAGCGTGTGGGCGGAGCCTCGTACAGACTCGTACTGCGGGAGCGTGTGGGCGGAGCCTCGTACAGACTCGTACTGCGGGAGCGTGTGGGCGGAGCCTCGTACAGACTCGTACTGCGGGAGTGTGACTTTCACTTGCCTTGTCGTGGAAGCCGTTGGCCGTGATGTTAACGGCAGGTTTCCCGGGCTCCTGGAAAATCCAAAAGTCCCTCCTAAAAAAAACAAAAAAAACAAAACATGATTCAGACAGATCCAAAAATGAGACAGAGTTTGTGACTCATTTCTGGTTTGATCCTTCACATTATCTTAATGTCAGACGTTACGTCCCGACAGTTAAGGCCTTTTCATATTTCATCAGAGAGGGCGGGGCAGAGCGAGGGGGCGGGGCGGAGCGAGAGGGCGGGGCAGAGCGAGGGGGCGGGGGCAGAGCGAGGGGCGGGGCGAAGCGAGGGGGCAGAGTGAGGAGGCGCGGCAGAGTGAGGGGGTGGGGGCAGAGCAGAGCAAGGGGGCGGGGGCAGAGCGAGGGGGCGGGGCGAAGCGAGGGGGCAGAGTGAGGAGGCGGGCGGGGCAGAGTGAGGGGGGGGGCAGAGCAGAGCGAGGGGGGCGGGGCGGGGCAGAGCGAGGGGGCGGGGCAGAGCGAGGGGGCGGGGCAGAGCGAGGGGGCGGGGTAGTTTGGCAGCAGAACATCTTCTGACGTGTGAAATGTCGGAGCTCAAACAGACTTTGTTCTTGTTCTTGCCTCATGAACAGGGACAGTATGAACAGACCTTTACTCTTTCATTTGAATTGTACTTTTCACAAATATTTTTTTTTTTTACTGAAAGTGTCCAAAGCTCTGAAAACGATCAGAGTTTTAACCTCATCTGACAGACGTGTGAAAGGAGCATTAAACCGGTGACACTCACTTGTACATCATGGCCAGAGCGTTGATCTCCACTTCTCCCACCCACTGCTGCAAACAAACAGAGGTCAGGTCAAAGCTCGGCGACGCACGTCAGAGACACAACACCTCATGACACCGTGGAGAGCACAGGCTGTACCGAGAAGTTCTGCTGTTTGTTTAGACGAAGAAAACATTTGACACTTTCACCGTTTTGAGGATTTAAATGTTTGCGTTTCATTTGAACTTTGCGCAAGACGCGATTTAACAAAGGCTTTTAGCGTCTCACACACGATTTAGACTTTAATTTTACTGAACTGTATTAAAATCGATTTGAAATATATCGTACTGAATCGTAAGTTCACTGTTTGGAGATAAGTATCGTATCGCGGCCTGTGTATCGTATCGGCAACTTCTGAATGAAACTCAGCCCCGTCACCGAGTTGTGGGGGTGAATTTGGAGCAGAGTTTCCATATTAGGAATTTATTTCAAGACAAAATAGTAAAATAAAAACAGCAGGATCAGGACTCTGGCGATATGTAATCCCGATATATCTCGATACTAGGGATGTGCAAAAATATTGAAATATCGATATGTAGTATAGTTTAATGTGATGATACAGTATCGATATCATGGGCTGCTGTATTGATATATCACCCAGAGGATTTTTGGTGCATTTTACTCATTTATTTTGTTACAGCGTTACAGTTTTGTCGCTTGTTTAGTGGAAGGAAACTCGTTTAGGCGACATATTTGACATTTTCCCTGTTTTGATGATTAAAATGGGCGTGTTTCATATGAACTTTGCACAATAAGTGGTTTAAGATTTAAGATTTTTAGTATCACAGCTACGATTTAGACATTGTTTTTATTGAACCGTATCAAATCGATTTGAAATACATCACACTGAATCGTACCGAATCGAAAGTGCACTGTATCGAGGTGTGCATCTTCTCGTGGCCTACGTATTGAAATATGTATCGTATAGGCGAGTTTCATTGTTGACAAAAGCGCGCGTTGCATGCTGGGAATTATTTTGGTCGGCGGCAAGAAACACTAATTGAACACGACGGACAGAGCGAGAAAACACGTAAAGGGTATTGATCCTGGTTATTTATCCACTCGAACGGCAGACGACCCAAGACCATTTGACCAGAAATTGGTCATAAACATCGACGGACGACAAATCACCCTTTTCAACCCCGACAGAGTCTGGACCAAACCAAATTTCTGGTCAGAATCTCCAACTCCCTGGACAAATATTCACTTGGGCGACATCCACAATGACTTGGTGGAAACTCCTGGGCCATTCACAGCAGAAAAGATGAAAACCTCCAAGAGTCTGGATGTGTTGTTGAACTTGTTGAGTCCACGGTTTGTTAGGATCTTCTACGTTTGCTCTGCGGATGTTTGAAAGTCGTTTTATTCGCCGTTAGTGGTTCTTTTCACTCAGAATACGAAAAAGACGTTTTCCTTCTTCTGTGTTTCTATTTGTGCGTCCGATAATGCAGCAGGAATTTACCGTTATCAGGATAAATACACGAGGTTACGCACTGTGTTTGACGCTACCGTGTTTCTGCCTCCAACCAAAATATTTTCCAGCAGCAACGCGGGCTTTTAATAACAATGACGTCAGCTGAAACTCGCCTGTAGCTGCCTGTATATCGAGATATGTATCGTATTGGCAACTTCTTAATGATACCCAGCCCCACTCGATACTAAAACAAAGGACAATCTATAAAAATAATCGCTGATAACGTTATGGTCGAGTAAACAAAACGTGATGGAATAATCGTTAATAATCAGTAGAACAGCAAATGGAAAAACATGATTAAAAAATAAATAAATAAAAAAATCAACGATGCATTTAGAACCGATACAAGAATTAAATATTGTGATCCATCAAAAGTCTGGACACGCTTCATTCACTGTTGTTCTTCTTTATGTTTATTACTTTCTACATTTTAGATACAAATATATTTTAGTACTTATTTTTCTAGTTTATTTTGACTTGTACATTTACATTTATATAATTCTGTCTTGTTCGACACCGCGCTGTGAGTAAAGTGGAGTAAAACGGTTCTGATTCTCTCCATAAACTCAAGGACTCACGTCTGTTTCACTGTTTAACACAGATTTGTGCCGCTGGACTTATTTTCTCTAAATCGTCGCGTCGCTGTCGCTCTGTTCGTCACGTAAACAAACGGCGCCGTGTGATGACGTCGTCGCGGCTCGGGTCGGTTCTGCAGGTCTGAGTGCGGAATATAGAACCCACAACAATCTGCACGGTTCTAAAGTCCCAGCGTGAGTCGACCTAAACCTTCACAAAGTTTTGCAATATTTTTTATATAAATAAGTATATTTATTTTATTTTTAAATATAGAGATTGTAGAAGAGCTAGATATATAATTTATTTTGGACACATTTCTGTTTTTCTGCCTTATTTCATGTTCAAAGTTTATTTGATTCATTTTATTTTATTTATACATCACAAAACTGCTCTAAAGTTCAGATTTGTAGCCGAGATTTATTTTCAATTTAAAAGTTTTGCGTAAATTATCAATAACAACGTGTTTTTTAGAGCGAGAAATGCTGAATAAATGCATCGTGTAACTAAAAAATAATCGTTTGAATAATCGTGATCATGATTTTTTCCATTATCGATCAGCAACCACAATGTAAACAAACGTGTCTAAATGATTTGACTAATAAAAATCACAAAAGTGCAAAGTGTTGGTCAAAGGTGAGTTTTAAAACTCTAAAAGCAGCTGTGAGTTATTTAGAGTTCTGAATGGACAGTGGATAAAATCATAGAGGTAAATAAATAAACGTGTGAGTTTTCAGAAGAGAAAAAGCTCGTCCTGTTTTACCTGTGGATCCTGTAGTTTGTGTAAATATTCCTCAAAGTCTCCTTCGATAAACTGCACACAGAACTCACGTTAGAGTTTGGTCACGGGAAAAAATACAAACACACTTAATTTCTACGACACATTTTAGCAAAAAAAAAACCTGTTTCTAAAGTGCTACGGATAAAAAATAAATTAAATTAATTTTAAAAAAAGGAAAGGAAGGAAAATGTAATTATAAAGATGCCAAAATTAATAAAAAATAATAGTTAATAATGGAAAAATATGGTAATCCTTAAAATAAAAGACATTATTTATTATTTATATATAAAAAATAAGATAATTCATATTAAAATATAACAATAATTTTAAAAACAGAGAAAAAGAAAAAAAAAGAAATTATGTTTAAAAATTGTAGTAAAAAGTAAATGATAAGGGTAAAAATAATATTAAGTATAATGACTAAAAGTGTCTATTAAAAATGAAAAAAATATATATATAAATGAATAAATAAATACATACATACATAAATAAAATTATAAATAACCCAAAATGTAAATATAAGTGGCCTAGCAGTGTGGTTCTGCTGCACTAACACATTATTTTTGTTTTTATTTGCTTAAATTTGTTTGTTTTGTGTGTTTGAGGGGAAGGGGTGGGGAGCTTTGTAGGTTTTTTTTTTTTTTTTTTTATGTCTTGAATTCGTGTTAATCATTGTATTTTGTATACTGTTATATTCTATTGTTTTTAATAAATGGGTCAAATAAATAAATAAATAAAATAAATAATAAAGTAAAATAATAATTAAAAAAATGAATAATTACATAAAAAGTGCTGTGGATATAAAGAGAACATTAAAAACAATAAAAAGTATTAAAAATATCAGAGGGTATAAATGTTCTATTTAACCTGCTCGTCCTAAAACACTGAAACCAGTAAAAAGACAAATAAAAGCAAACCCATAAAATCAATTAACTAATACAAAAGTGTATGTAAAATAAAATAAAACCCAGAGGACCACATAACTCTGGCGGTGTTAAAAGACACAGAATAAAAGTGGGTGTTAAACTCTCGTCACTCACGGCTTCGTAGCTCTTCCGGTTTTTCCTCAGAAACTCCACACATTTGTGTCGGACCTCGAGGTGACGGCTCTGGCAGTGAAGAACCTACAGAACACGGAGAACGTTTACACTAAGTGAGGACAGAAGTGACACGAGGATGAAGAACTGAAGTGATTTAGTGATTTGGAGTGAGACGGAGAGTTTGGTTAAACTTGTTCTGTTGTTTATAGTTTATCTGAAGAACTGTGAAATATGTGACAGTATTAACTCTTTCCCCCTGGACTTGTACTAGGAACAACCCAGACATGTGTTACTAGTTCTACCCATAGAGCATCACTGCATAAAAGAAAACAGACTTCCACCAGTGATTATAAATGATTTTTACACTCATGAACTTCATTGTAACACAGACATATTTGTATCTCTGGAAACTTCAGACTCTGAACTCTTCATTTCTGGATGTTTAAATGTGATTCAACTCATTTACAGGTTTATAACAGCTCACTGAACATGAGAGTTTACCTGGTCAGGTGCAAACTCGAAAACAAAAAACTACATTCAGCATCTGATATCTGCATGTTCTGAGAACTATATTCATAAAAAAATAAAAAATACACTTTGTCAAAGTATTTAAACAGATTTCATATCAGCAGATACAGTAGAGCCAAGTGTTCACCTGTGTTTTTACCTGTTGTTCATCTGTGTGCACCTAATTCATTTTTTCCATTTAACTTATTCAACTTATTTTATTTATTCAACTCATTTATCTTATTATAATATAATAATAAAACTCTTCCCCGTCAGTGTGTGTTCAGTATTTATCATCTTGGTTATTTTCTCGTGTGCAGAGCTCCACATAAGTGTTTGTTTCTGTAGTGATTCTGTTATACGTCGCATCTTGGAAAAAAAGACTGAAATATTTCAAAGGACTCGTCTGAGCAACATCCAGATTTCAGGGCAATTTTGGTTCATAATCGAGTATAAAGTCCTGGATAGTTTGTTTGGACATCGCAGGACTCCACACAGACGCATCAAGCTGTATTCTCATCTTCTCCCTGAAAGTTCGTCGCTGTCGCTATTTTCCACTTTATAATCAACTTCATCATCACTTTGAAATCTATAAAAGTCACTTTCTCTAAACTTATCCATAAAATACGTCCGCTCCTCATTATTTCTAAAACTGTGCACCGCAGCGCCGCCATCTTTCCACTGCACGTGTTTCGTGTTGTGTTTTTTCCGGAAGCTCCATCGTCACTACTTCAATTAACTTCGGAAAAAATCTGCGAAAACATATCCTTGAATCCTACTGGTCAGTCTAGTGTGGGTTGTAGTGGCCCCGACCAATCACAGTCTCTGTTTAAATGTGAAAAACCGAGTCGTTTCTAAAGGTCGTCAAATCACGTCTTTAGTGAAACAGCGGAGGAGACAAAAGTCGTCATTAAGGAAACACGAGGGGTCGTCAAATGTCGTCTTCATGGGGGAAAGAGTTAACAGTCTGTTGTTCTCACTTCACTTGAAAACGTCAATTCCTGGTGTCTGATTTTACAAAATAAATTTCCGCAAACATTTAAACCAGGGGTGTCCAAACTTTTTTCATCAAGGGCCAAATATCTAAACACAGATGAAGCAGACGGTCGATCGAGGCTGTAGACTGATGCTCCTTACAGAGAATAATTGAAATATGTGCAGATTTAACAGGTTAGAATGAGCCATTAGCCTTTATTCACACAAAGATCCTGAAAAACACAAACTAAATAACAAACGTGTAACAAATAAACATGGTCAAGCACAAAGATGTTGTCCGTTTGTTGTCCATTGTGCTTAATCCGTTTATCATTCGTTCATTCATTTTTCAATATAAAACCAAAAATAAGAAAACGAAAAAAGAACAGTTTTCTTTGTTTTTTCAGTTTTTCGATTTTGTGTTTAAATGAAGAATGGAAAAAACGGATAACGACCGTTTCCCGTTTACGTGACTTCCGTGACTGCGATGCCGGACTTTTGCATCGCGTCATCCGGTCTGTCCCGGTCTCAGTCCCGGTCTGGTCTCGGACCTGGATCAGTCCTGGTTCAGTCCTGGTTCAGTCCGTATGTGGTGCAAAAGTCCGGAAGTCACGTAAACGGGAAACAGTCGTTATCCATTTTTTCCATTCTTCATTTAAACACAAAATCAAAAACTGAAAAAACGAATCGTTATCTGTTTTTTCATTTTGGTTTTGGACACAAATAGTGAAGAAAACTGTTGTTTTTTCATTTTCTTATTTTTGGTTTTACATTGAAAAACGAATGATACACGGATTGTGCTTGACCATGTTTATTTGTTACATGACACAGTGATGTGGCACCTGTTACAGGAGCGTCTGGAACAGAGACCAGATCAAGTGTTTGAGCTCGTTCATGCGCCGCAGTAAAGAACAACGTTTGTTACTTCAAACCAGGTCTTGATGGGAACATGTGCGGTAGGTGTGGACGATATATCGATATTTTAAATATATCGAGAGTTGTTTTTTTTTTATTAAGGAATCACAATATACTCATACAAGATTTACAAATCACAAGTATTTTTCCTTTTATATTTTTCTTATTTTCAAAAACACCATCTTAATAATAAATACCAAATCCAAATATTATCAAAAATGAAGCAAAGGCAAACAATCAAAAGATAATAATAATTATGATGGTGAAAAATGAGATAGTTTTTACACTCGATATGAATTCTGACATATCGTATATATCGATATAATGTTTATATTCAATTTAGATTTTGCCGCTTCGCTTGTTTGTTTCTCTCTCGTCGCCCCCGCCTCCCTGAGTTTGCTGCTCGTGTCTCCTTCACTCGTCACTGTCGCCGTGAACGCTGAAAGTTGGTGCCAGTGAAAAGCTTCAAGCACCACGAACCTTTTCCACCATTTACAGACAAAACCACCAGCAGCACATCCTCCTATTCCACCGAGTCTCGTCCTTTAACCAGAAAGAAACTGAACGAGCTGAGCTGCAGGAGAAGTGCTGTTTATGCAAATGAGTCAAGCACTTAAGTTTCGTTTCTGTAAAATGTAAACACACGTGCGCAAAACTGCATTAAACACATGATTATCTCAAACGGGCTGATGTGGCTCTAGAGTCGTTGTGTTTATATATTGTAAAGTTTATTTATGCAGAAGATTTTAATAAATAATCTGCTGCAGTGTCACTTGTACAATAGTGTTTGGAAACGTTGGGTTTGATCTGCAGTGGATTGTGGGATTAAACCTCAGATCCTGACTGCTGGAACATGGATCTGTTAAAATAAGGAACATCCTGAGCTTCTTCTGCTGAAGGAGCTCATGGTTCTGGTTCTGGTCTGGATAACAGAGTTAATACAAAGATGAGCTTGTGTTGAGTTGTTTTATTTATGAATAAAAAGAAGGAAATATGTTTTATTTCTTTTATTTTACAGTTAAATTATTATTTATGTAATTAGGTTTTTTTTGTAATCTTAAATGTTCCTGTATGAACTGTCGACCTCTTACACTTCAAGAAAAAAAAAAAAAAGACCTTGTGGAATTTGGCAGATTTGTTTTTGCAGTTTTCAGTTTTAGGGTGTTATTTTTTTTTGTACATATATGGAGATATATATCTTATATCGAGATATAGCAAAATATATCGAGATATATTTTTTGATCCATATCGCCCAGACCTAGTACATAATATTATAATATTATAATAAGAAAGAGTTCATCAATTAAAAAAGATTTGTGTAATAGATTTGTGTTTCTCTGCACAAATATTTAAACTTATTGTTATTTTTGGGGTTTATATGACATGAGTTTTCTGATTCGACACAACCCCCGGAACAAAATGAGTTTGACACTCCTGATATAATGTCTAAACCAGGTCTAAACCAGGACTAAACCAGGTCTAAACCAGGTCTAAACCTAAACCAGGTCTAAACCAGGTCTAAACCAGGACTAAACCAGGTCTAAACCAGGTTTAAACCAGGTCTAAACCAGGTCTAAACCAGGACTAAACCAGGTCTAAACCAGGTCTAAACCAGGTCTAAACCAGGTCTAAACCAGGTCTAAACCAGGTCTAAACCAGGACTAAACCAGGTCTAAACCAGGTCTAAACCAGGTCTAAACCAGGTCTAAACCAGGTCTAAACCAGGACTAAACCAGGTCTAAACCAGGTCTAAACCAGGTTTAAACCAGGTCTAAACAGGCTAAACCAGGTCTAAACCAGGTAAACCAACTAAACCAGGTCTAAACCAGGTCTAAACCAGGTCTAAACCAGGTCTAAACCAGGTTAAACCAGGTCTAAACCAGGTCTCTAAACCAGGTCTAAACCAGGTCTAAACCAGGACTAAACCAGGTCTAAACCAGGTCTAAACCAGGTTTAAACCAGGTCTAAACCAGGTCTAAACCAGGTCTAAACCAGGTCTAAACCAGTTTAAACCAGTCTAAACCAGGACTAAACTAAACCAGGTCTAAACCAGGTAAACCAGGACTAAACCAGGTCTAAACCAGGTCTAAACCAGGTCTAAACCAGGTCTAAACCAGGTCTAAACCAGGTCTAAACCAACTAAACCAGTCTAAACCAGGTCTAAACCAGGTCTAAACCAGGTCTAAACCAGGTTTAAACCAGGTCTAAACCAGGTCTAAACCAGGACTAAACCAGGTCTAAACCAGGTTTAAACCAGGACTAAACCAGGTCTAAACCAGGTCTAAACCAGGTCTAAACCAGGACTAAACCAGGACTAAACCAGGTCTAAACCAGGTCTAAACCAGGACTAAACCAGGTCTAAACCAGATCTAAACCAGGTCTAAACCAGGACTAAACCAGGACTAAACCAGGTCTAAACCAGGACTAAACCAGGACTAAACCAGGACTAAACAAGGTCTAAACCAGGTCTAAACCAGGTTTAAACCAGGTCTAAACCAGGACTAAACCAGCACTAAACCAGGTCTAAACCAGGACTAAACAAGGACTAAACAAGGTCTAAACCAGGTCTAAACCAGGTTTAAACCAGGTCTAAACCAGCACTAAACCAGGTCTAAACCAGGACTAAACAAGGACTAAACAAGGTCTAAACCAGGATTAAACCAGGACTAAACCAGGACTAAACCAGGACTAAACAAGGACTAAACCAGGTCTAAAACAGGACTAAACCATTTGAGGAGGAGGAGGGAAGAAGGTCTAAATTGTGTGTTATGTTGTAGTTTTAGAGCAGGGACGGTGTGTGGGGGAGTCTGGGCGGCTCACACTGCGGCTCCCACTGCGGCTCCTCAACTCCCCAAACCCTGCGCTGGTTTCCTGGAATATTGTCACTTTTTTTGTTTTGTTTTTTGGATCTTTTACCTGTTCTGCCACGGCCCGGAACAAACACGAACCGTCCTTGGCGATCTTCTTCCGCTGCAGGCCCAGAGACCGGAGGTGTTCGTCCATGAGTCTGTCCGCCGCTCGGTCCGCGGGGCTGCGCACGTTTCCCCCGCCGCCGCCGCCGCTCTCCATGCTAACGGCTAACGGCTAACAACAACAACAGTTTTGAGCCCGAAACCCGCACAAACTTTTCTCCCCCGCGCTCGTGTCAAAGTGTGTCCGCGCGTCGGGCCCCGGCTCCGCGCTGCTGCTGCCGACGCTTCTTCGGTTTCGTTTCTCCAGAAGGTGTTTTGTGTTTTGTTTTTTCCGTCCGGGACCCGAAGCTCAAAGTGAAACTACAAACTCACGAAAAACTACAAACCAGGGTAACGGCTCGTGCTATCACAGGCTGACGCGGAGGACACGCCCACCTCGCGACACACGTCATCACGCACGTTTTGTAATCGTAAAAAATGGGACAAAAAAAATAAAATAAATAAAATAAATAAATAAATTATATGTATTTAATTATTAATATATTAATATAATTATTATTTATTATAATTATTATTTATTTACACACACACACCCTTTTTTTTTCTTTTTTTTTTTCCAGTAAGTCCATTCATTGCCGGAAACTAAACCAGGTCTAAACCAGGTCTAAACCAGGACTAAACCAGGTCTAAACCAGGTCTAAACTAAATCTAAACCAGGACAAAACCAGGTCTAAACCAGGTCTAAACCAGGACAAAACCAGGACTAAACCAGGACAAAACCAGGTCTAAACTAAATCTAAACTAGATCTAAAGTAGATCTAACCAGGACTAAACCAGGTTTTGTTTTGTTTTTTCCGTCCGGGACCCGAAGCTCAAAGTGAAACTACAAATTCACGAAAAACTACAAACCAAGGCTCGTGCTATCACAGGCTGACGCGGAGGACACGCCCACATCGCGACACACGTCATCACGCACGTTTTGTAAGCGTAAAAAATGGGACAGAAAAAAAGAAAGAAAGAAAGAAAAAGAAAAAAATAAATAAATAATAATAAAGAAAGAAAGAAAGAAAGAAAAGAAAATTAAAAATAAAAAAATGGGACAGAAAAGCAGTGACGGGGAGTAACAGATTACATGTACCAGAGTTATGTAATCAGAGTACAATTTATGAGTAACTGTATTCAACTACAGTTACTGTTTCAGTGAGTGGTAATTGGATTACAGTTACTTTGTTGAAATAAAGGGATTACACGGCCCCTTTTTTTCGGTAGATGCCAGAAACTAAACCAGGATTAAAAACAGATCTAAACCAGGTCTAAAGTAGATCTAAACCACGTCTAAACTAGATCTAAACCTTGTCTAAACCAGGTCTAAACCAGGACTAAACCAGGTCTAAAACAGGATTTAACAGGACTAAATCCTGCTGTGTGGACGTGTTTCTTCGTTTTCTATCAATAATATTTTTAATTTGGTTCAGTAAAGTTTGGACTTTTTATTTTCTTTTATCAGACAAAATCTTATGTGAAGATTTCCTCGTCTTTGTTTCTCTACAACAAATCAAGTAATAAATTGGTGTATGTAATCTGTAATCTGTAGGGGATTACATTTTAAAAGTAAACTTCCCAGCACTGTGTACTGGGTGTACTGATGTTGTTTTGTTAAGTTGTTCCAAATTTTATATCCACAAATGCAAAATTCAGTCCTGAGATCAGGTTTAGATCGGGTTTTCAGACCTGGTTTAAACCTGGTTTAAACCTGGGTTAGACCTTGTTTAGTCCTGGTTTATTACGACATCCGTCCGGTATTATGACATGTCTCTATTTACTGTAAATGTACAAATGTAAAATTCAGAAATGTCCCACTAACTTTGCTTGTTTTAAAAACAAACTCAAATTATATATAAAAGCTCTGAAATATGTGTGAAATACCCCTGGACTTTATGAACTCGACTTCCCTCAATATTATCCTTTTCTCTTCCTAAATGCACTTTTTTTTGTATTTCATTGTTTTTATATAATATATTGTGTTTATGATCCCTCATCCCAACATGGAACTGCTGATGACACACACGTTTCAAGTATCAAGTTTATGCATCCGGTTGTGTGTAATTAAAAAAAAATTAAAAAAAAAAGTAAAGAAAATCCATAAATCCAAATTCTCCAATTCCAAACCATTTTCAAAATCGTTATATTAGACATAAATATGTATATATATATATATATATATATATATATATATATATATATATATATATATATATATATATATATATATATATATATATATATATATGAAACACTGAAAACTATTTCTAACATTAAATCTATTAAAACACATAAAATTATAGAATTAGGATTTTATTTTAAATCACTTCCTCAGTTTATTGTATTGATTTTTTTTCTTTGTGCACATTATCTGCCTCAGTTTGAGTTTACATGTATGTCAACTTTGTTTTTGATTAAAATTTATATATATATATATATATATATATATATATATATATATATATATGTGTGTGTGTGTGTGTGTTTATATGCATGCATGTATGTATGTATGTATATGTGTGTATGTATATGTGTATCTGTTTATAAGTATGTATGTATATTTCTCTTCACCGTTCACTCCTGCCAAAATTGTGAACTGGACTTTACATTGATGCAACAACAATCCCACTGCACTTTATACTGGAAATACCTCTGCTGTTTTGTCTTCGTATTATGTGTCTGTAATAATAATAAAAAAAATAAAATAAATAGAAATAACTAGATTTGTCCAAATCGATCTAACTTCTGTCTGTCACATCCTGAAATCATCATTTTTTTATGTCCTGTTAGCTCCACCTACTGGAAACAGTTAGAACAGACATGTCAAACTCAGGGCGAGCCTCCATGTCTGGAGATCTGGTTGTCGGAGCCCCCGCCTTCAACTGCCGCTGAACCGATAGTCGAACCTCGGATCCAGGAGGAGCAGTGTGGTTTTGGTCCTGGTCGTGGAACACTGGACCAGCTCTACACTCTCCATCGGTGCTCGAGGTTCATGGGAGTTTGCCCAACCAGTCCACATGTGTTTTGTGGACTTGGAGAAGGCATTCGACCGTGTCCCTCGTGGTGTCCTGTGGGGGGTGCTCTGGGAGTATGGGGTCCGGGGCCCTTTGCTAAGGGCTGTCGGGTCCCTGTACGACCGGAGCAGGAGCTGTGTTCTTTGCGGCAGTAAGTCAGACCTGTTCCCGGTGCATGTTGGACTCCGCCAGGGCTGCACCTGTCACCGGTTCTGTTCATTGTATTTATGGACAGAATTTCTAGGTGCAGTCAGGGGCCGGAGGGTCCGGTTTGGGGACCACAGGATTTCATCTCTGCTGTTTGCAGATGATGTTGTCCTGATGGCTTCATCAGACCAGGACCTGCAGCACTGGGGCGGTTTGCAGCCGAGTGTGAAGAGGCTGGGATGAAGATCAGCTCTTCTAAATCCAAGGCCATGGTTCTTGACTGAAAAAAGGTGGCTTGCCTTCTTCAAGGGGGTGAAGAGTCTTTGCCTCAAGTGGAGGAGTTCAAGTATCTCGGGGTCTTGTTCTCGAGTGAGGGGAGGATGGAGCGTGAGATTGACAGGTGGATCGGTGCAGCGTCTGCAGTGATGCGGTCGCTGTATCGGACCGTTGTGGTGAAGAGGAGCTGAGCCGAGCTGAGTCTCCCTTAGAGACAGAGTGAGGAGCTCAGTCACACGGGAGGAGCTCGGAGTAGAGCCGCTGCTCCTCCACGTGGAGAGGAGCCAGTTGAGGCTCGGGCATCTGTTCTGATGTCTCCTGGACGTGTCCCTCAGGAGGTGTTCATGTCCCACCAGGAGGAGGAAGACCCAGGACACACTGGAGGGACTATGTCTCTGGACTGGCCTGGGAACACCTCGGGGTTCCCCCGGAGGAGCAGGAGGACGTGTCTGGGGTGAAGGAAGTCTGGGAGTCCCTGCTCAGACTGAGGCCCCCGCGACCCGGCCCCGGATAAGCAGAAAAACTCAGGTCCAAGGGCCAAATTTGGCCCACGATATAATTATATTTCTCCCGTGAGGTCATTTCAAATGTGTATCAGAGCTGCTGCCGCACACACACACACACACACACACACACACAC